CTCTGCTTCCACACACGCCCAAATCTTCTAACTTCGGAAGCAGATAAGATAAAAAACAAAATTTTAGAAGCATGTTTGTTGCTCTGGTACAACCTTGGAATTTCAAATTTGGCTTTTTTTGCATCTAATTCTCACGTACAAAAACAAACTCTTCTGCGGTGAATTGTTGGCTTTTTCATTTGGGAACCAGATATGATAAAAAGTTGAAATTTTAGGAGAATGTTTTCTGCCAATTTTTGGCTATGTAATTTCGAATTCAAGTCTCATTTAATGTCCTTTCTCTTCCTTTTTAACATGCTTTAAATCTATTCCTTCTTTATTTTTAAAAAGTATAGGCCACTTCCTTTCCAGAATTTATTTCAATTTATTTACTTATTTTGTCATCACCGCAACTGTTGTACTAACGAGGTCCAGCTGTGATGCTTGATAGGGACACGACTTGTATACGATTTAACGAACTGAAACATTTTTGCTCATCAAATTTTTTGACATAGATTTATATTTTTATAAATACCATAATTAATATCTCTATTAAACAAATATGTCATATTTCTGTAGAGAATTTTGTACCTTGGGAACCAAACAAACTGAAAGCTGAAAATCTGCGTGGATACTTTATGTCCGTGTACCACCTTTTCAGTTCAAACTCATTTCAGTTTAAACTCAGTACGCTTATGTCTCTTGCACGGACATATGAAATTTCAGGCGAGAAACTGTAGACATCTAACTCAAGATGTAAAAAAATTAGTTTAGGAATTTGTTTTCTGTCAGTATGCATATTTACGCATTAATACGTCTCATATTACAGTTGTTATAAAATACATACAGCGAATTTCCCCAACTTGGAGACTGGAGAGAGCTAGGGGAGGAGGCGAGGGGGATTGAAGGCGGAGGCGGGGGAGAGGGCGGGGCGGGGGGGGGGAAACTAAAACCGTCTGTGTGTTAACATATGCAGCTGGCGCGCCGTGGAGAGAATTTCTAAAAGTTCATATGAGTGATTTTCCAGCTGAAAAACTGAACGAAGCAGTCGAATTTTTATGATTTTCATGTCATCTTCGGCTCTGAAGAATTAAATTCAACTTTTCAAGTTCGGAAGAAAAAATCTCGACAATTTTTGCACACACCAAACTGTAAAGCATTGAACGTCTTTAAGAACAAGCATCTGGTATACGGAACTGGCCAAAACGCATGATCGCGCTGGCTGCTCTGGTGTGAGTCGTTATTTATTCATCGTACAATGACCCTTGATCGTGAATCAAGGTAGATTTTCATTGAAGGTGCTGCAATGCTCAGTCTGGCAACATATTTGATCCATTTGGCACATGGAAATAACGAACCGCTTAATTTGTACTGCACATTCATCCTTATTGCAATCGTCATTTTTATGTGTTTTATGACTTTTTATCAAGAAAAAAGGGCTCGTCAGGTTACTCTTTCATGGCTTGTTAGAAATACAGAGACATACTAATGAGCGGACGTTAGTACAAGCACGCGAATGTTTGAAGGTACA